AAAAGATGGGGATACCACCCGCACTACTGTAGCGGAAGTCCGCTGGCTGGCTATGATGGGACTAGTTGAAGAAAATGGTGGTATTTCACCAAGCCTAGGTTGACAACCAGACTTCACGTCGTCTCAACATCATGTGTTCATACTGAGAGCTGAAATTTCCCAGAAGTCGCAGCTCCAGTTTACTAGTGAAGACCAAAGGTGATGCTGCCCAACCAAGTAAATGGCCACTTGTGGCGAAGAGCCATCCGTCCAAATCAACTGGTTCATCGTCTCCCTTGCTATTTTTCCATTCCTTCACCATTCTTTTCCATTAGCTTTCATTATTCCCAGATTCCCAACTACTTCGAGGCCATTTCTACTAGGGCAAAGTGCACCTCCTGAATCAAAAGTTAGACAAAGTTGAAGGATTCGGCAGCTAAGGCCAAGAGCAGCAGGTACCTAAAACCGATGCCAAAGGGGATCTGTGTGGACCCTGGGCAGGTCCGGTTGATCCTTGGGAGCGGAACCATAATACGTGGCTTATTACCATAGTGATAGGATAAACCATAGTATAGTTATCATAGTTATCATAGTGCATAGTATAGTTATCATAGTTAATACTATTGGTTATCATCCTAGTCATAGGGGTTTTGTTCCCGAATTATGGTAGCTATTACCATAGTGATACCAATTAATAACCCCTAACTGCACCCCCAAGTCACCACGCCCAACGCCCAAATTGGGTATCACTCTTGATTTTTGGTTTGCCACATCAGTAATTTCCTGGAAGATAGTTATGTCAATTCACCAGAGCACACATGTCGATATAAATGCAATAACTAACTAGAGTGCATTAAAAGAAAGCGCCACACAATCACTTGTCCTCGATGCGGGTAGTAACGTTCTTCTCTAGCACCCACTTCTCCGAATATTCGTGACTTTGGCACGTCATATCTCTGGCCAACACACTGTGATCTGGGTAAATTGCAATTTCATATCATTTCACTGAACTAACCCTCTATTGGGATGGTTACCCCAACACTTGCCAGCCGAGGCACCCAACACACCGATGTGAGTTATACCCACTATGCTGATTGTATAATCGTACCAGTTGTTTGGTTGACTACTGAAAAACGATCTTTGTCGGCGTATAACCATTTCATCTCTTTGGGATTGCCAGGAGTGGCTTGGATCCAACGCCCACTTGAAAAAGGATCGAATTCGAATTGCCCAAAAATATTTGCACACTAAGAATTTCATTCATATATATATATATATCATGTATAGTAAAATATAATCTAATATATATATATATGTCATGGTTAGTTGAACCCCCTACCCTCTCGTCAACTATCCGATAAAAAATTAAATCGCTGTGTTTAATGGGAAAACCACCGTTTCTTTATGGGAGCAATTGAAAATGGCCATAGACTAGTGGATCTACCGCCAAAAAACGGTGCTTTTCCATCGTTCTTTTTGTTTACCGGGGGGGAAGGCCCACATGAATTCCAGGACCCCAAAAAAACCGAGTCCCGCTACAACTCGGCTTTTTTAACTTAGGGTTCTTCCGCACTCTCCGGAGCGGTGGTGGACCAGATCTGGGGGTCCGTCAGTGCTTTACAGGCCAAGATTAGATCACTACCCTGCCACAAGTTGGTGTCTTTGACCATATTATCCCATGGAACCCGTCCCCCACGCCACCGAAGAAATCTTCGAGCAGCTGCTGCGAACACTCCCAACCATCATTAATTGATGAATGTATATGAATATATGAATCTTATATTCCCATTTGTTTGATTGAAACAAAACGCAAGAGCACCGCTGCCTGTTGGCCGACTGGGCTCTCGAACTCTCTTCGTTGGAGCCTCACCCTTTCGAGGAATGCCACCTGCGGGCCGAACTTCGGACTTCGGGGGTTGTGTCAGCTATAAAGTGAGTGGATGGTAGTGGATGTTGATGGATGTTAGTAGATGTTAATGGACGTTAGTGGATGTATCTGGATGCTGATGGAGTTTATGAACCAACAAGCATAACTGGGTCCAACCTGGCAGCATATTTCGGGATTTAATCGTGTTTGGGTGAACGAATGGTGGTATGATTTTTGAGACTAAACATAGTCACAATGGATATGTTTGGGGACATAACGTAATCACAGGGAAGGAACACACATTGAGACTCTACCTACGAGCATGGAGCCTGAACAAGTACGTTGAAATGAATCCACACATCCGAGAGAACAAATAGGAACGATGAGACCTAGCAAGGAGCATGTCTGCCTATGAAATCTGTATTCAGCACTTCCGACGTGATCTCTTTTTATCAAAGATGTTTCAGACCGATGGACCAAGCTGGAACCAACCAACACACACCATCCGGCTTCTTGCAGAGGCTTCCAGTTTCAATGTCGAACTCAAATAAATGTTCATATAGGGAGGTTTCCTAAGTCATGGGAATAACCCCAAAGCATCCAACAGTAGACCATGTTAGTATTGAAACCTATGGTTTCAGGGCATCCCACGACCACAACGGCTAATCCGGTATTTCGCATCAGGACGAAGACCTCTTAATGGAAATCAGGGGTGTTCCTCCTCTGATAAACTACACGAACAGTTTGCGAACTGGAAAAATCACCATTTTGAATGGGTAAATGAACTATATATCAATGGATTGGTTTCAGGGAAAATCCACAGGAAACCATAGATTTTCCCATTAAATATGGGGTTTCCTGTAAAATGTCCCTTAAACCAATCCATTGAATATAATTGTGGGCCATATTTTCTATAGCAAACTGTGGGCCACAGATGACCAGGCCGGGTCTTTGTTGCGATCGACGGGAGTAAATGGAATCATGGGGTGAATGTGATTCACATAGAAATCTGAGATATGTTTACCCTCTGGTTATTTAACAGTTCGCCATGGAAAATCCCCATGCTATTAATAGGTAAACCATCTATTTCGATTCGGGCCATCTATACCATGGCTATGTTAATAACCAGAGGGTATTTGGAATTTACGGATCATTTTCCCTGTTCTATATCAGATATGAATGATGGATATTTCATGGGATATCATGGAATTGAATGCGATTGATGGGGTATAAGAAGGATATAATACGGGAATATACTATGGCATATCATGGCGAAACAAGGGGATATTATTGGGATATAATATTATGTGATTAATGGGTATGGGGTAACACTATAATCGGGATATCATGGGGATAACTGGATATAGAATAACTTCACATGATCAGGAAAAACATGGAACAAAAACTCTATGAACATGATATTACATCATTATATCACCAAAAATGATCAGACCTTTCTTTGCATCACACAACTGAAAAGGGAACATAATCTCAAAAAGGTGCTTCAAATTGAATTGTTCAAACCTCCCACAAAACATGATATTTGCCAACCCCTGTCAAATGGGAGAAACTCAACGAACATCATAGGACATAAATGAACATAGGACATATTTAGATACATGATCAGAAAAAAACATGGGTCATGAGAACATATTCGGATACACAAACGAAATAAAAAAAATAAATTAATTAATATAATAGACAAAACATGGGGTTTAACACAGCCAAAGAAGATAACCTGCGATACATCTGGAAGTCGGATGGCCAAAATCTCCTCAAACAGCTTCTGGGCTTTGGGGGTTTCTAATGAATTGAGAAGCGGATAAGCTTAGCCAGCAGCACGCGCATACCTGCCAATCGGCACAGGTGTCCTGCGTTTCCAGAAGAATGTCGGACTGACGCCTGGCTAATTCTAATCTCTTTCATATTACCCTCTGATAATTTTAACATAACTATCGACTATAAATGGGACATTTTCAATATTTATGTTAAATTACCAGAGGGTAGATGTCACTGCCAAAGTATTGTTGAATAGTGGATCTAGAAAGCCTTGGCAGATGAAATATCAAGGCAATCACCAAAACAGAAGATGTGGAAGTTTTCACAGCAGAAACGAGCACTGAATCGAGTCATGAACAACAGCCCGTATCTAATCCCATTCTGCTTGGTTGCTATCCCATTTTTCATATCAATAGGATACGTAGAAACTCTCCCATGATTTTTCACCAGCTGGTTACGTTACGTGCATGGCAACTGCTGACAGAATCTGAGACTGGCAGTCCTCATACATCATGATCTTGAACTTTCCAGTGCGGCTGTCGAACTCTCCTTCAGGCTGCGGCCTCGGCAACCACATTGGTCCACTTCTTTATTGGTCCACTTCCCAAGTTGCTATGGTGATCTTGGTGATCTATGGTGGAAAGCCAATCCATAACAGCCATAACATCCTCCGAGTTAGGAATCCATGAAAGCTGTCAAGAAAAGCATCCCATGTTCAAACATCACCCATCTATTTTTGAAGATTAGGACTCCCTTAGTCCTACAATTCAAATAATCATTCCTTCCCCCGTTCATCTCATCCTTAAACGGGGTCCCAGTCATGGCATGTCAAGGACGGCTGGGCATCCCACTCCAAGCCAAGTGCTCGCAAACCAGCCCCAAAAGCCTGGACATTTTTGGGACGTGACAAATGGCGACCCACAACTTGACTGACAAACATTTTGGGCATATATATTTGAAGGGATCTATGATATATAAATAATATATGATAGAATGGTGATCACCAGAAATTGATATATATATATACATATAATATATATATATATATATATACATATAGATGTCATATCGAGCACCTGGCCCACGCTACTGATGCTGGTGGCAGACATGCCCACATGTCAGGTTCCTGTTTCACTGAGGGAAGATTTGACTCTTCAGCTTCGCCGAGGGACTGAGTTTTCCCACTTCCTTCGCGGTCGGCGTCTACGCACCCATGGCGTGGAGGCCATCTACAAAGGAATGCTTTCATCATACATTCGCCTTTGCCAAGTCTCACGGATGTGCTGGCATGGAAAAAGACGCCCAGCTATCGGCAAAAAGATCTGTACAATGCCTTTGGGGCAAGCAGCAGGACTCAAATTCACATGGCATCGTCTCACACAACTGCATCATCGCCAAAGTCTGCGTCTTCTTCTGCTGGGCAAGTGTCAGCCACGCTTTCCCTGGCCGATCTGACCCTCGAAGCTGTAACCCGACTGCCTTGGCGGAACTGACCCTGGCTGGCTGAATGGTGATAACCATGTCTTATCCAAGCAACACCCCCAACACATCATGCCAAACACTGATATGGACAAAGTTACTTGCAAATTTCTCCCTCGCAATGCTCAAGTTGTAGCTGCACTTATGATCACTTATGGCTCGCCTTCCCTTAACAAAGAACACACACCCCGACTTTGTTCTGCCACCCAGGCTCCAATGACCAGAACCTCACCTAGGTGAGAGACCGCACGGCGAAGTTTGGCCGCGCGACCTCCGGCCGGCAGCAACTGCGCCAGATGGATTGCTGCATCGTGGCTCCGCTTCAATGAAGCCACATTGTCTACCAGTTGCTGCCTGGCCTGACCGGGGCTAATAGCTCTAACGCCATCTATATGCCCCCAAAGCCAGCGTTCCCCTATTATGCCTCTGACAGCTTGCCGAGCAAACGCTCCTATACATTTCTAACACATGCCAACACCTTCCTCTGTCAAGCTAGCAAACCAACCCTCCAACCTGGCCTGCTTCTGACGCTGCTGATCAACTTCGTTGAGCTCCCGGATCTGTCCCAACGACTTGGCCTTCTCCACGAACTGCCGGCCCTCCGCTGCCGTGCCGCAAAAAGCACAACGGATTTGTAGCCCCTCCTTAAGAGGAATTGCCATGGTCCACCGCAAGGGCCTCGGCAGGGTCATAACACCACACACCAAACTCTCATCACTGCACTTGCACGGAACCAATACCGTGACGCATGGCAATCCTTTACCAATAAGGCTTCTACTTTCACCAACATTGTAAACCCCTGACAAGCTACTCACAGCAGACCGTAGCTGTTGGGAATCACAGTGGGCGCCATTGCAAAACTTATAAAAACACCCCAAAACCCATCTTATCTAACCTCTGTACCAACCACAACAGGACTCTGTCATCCAAGACACAAGATGTTGTTAAGATAGCGGCGTGCTGCAGACTGGGTCGGGAAATGCCCTGGAACGTTTAAGTCCAACATAAAGTTGTAGGTGGCCACTGCACCAGGCTCCGGGACACCACCATCAGCTTTGCCCGCCGGGCTTTTCTCGCCTTCCGTCTGAGCAGACTCCTCTTCCTGCTCCTTATCATCGCCATTGCGGTTGCCAAGCCCTCCCAACACAAGGTTGCCAAAGTTTTTCGACAATCTCTCCGCCATGGCAACAGCTTCCACGTAGACGTGAGCCGATGTACCAATTGAGCCCAGCTGACATCGTGCCGACAAATTGTTGCGCCCAAAGAACTGAAACAACTGGAATCGCTTATGAAGTATCACATCGCATAACCTCAAAGTTGTCATCGGAAAAGCTATGCCTGAAAAGTGGCAATGCTGTCCTACCGTGCTAAAAGTTTTATGTCGCTATGTTTCCGCCTAGTTCTGGTTATGGCATCCTCAGAAACAAATCAACAAACACTTACCCTACACTATACTGCTCATGATCCTGGTCGACCGGTGACGAAAATGTCACATTCCTGTTTCACTGACGGCAGTCCGGTCTGCCTCTCCGGCTTTGCTTGGGGACTGGCTTTTTCCGCTTCCGTCGCAGTCGGCGTCTACGCACCCATGGCGTGGAGGCCATCCACAAAGAATGCTTTCATCCTACGGTCGCCTTCGCCAACTCTGACAACTGTGCTGGCATGCAAAAAGAAAACATCTGCCCACCCAGCCGCAAACGGGTCTGTAAATTCCGTTGGGCCAAGCAGCGGGACTTAAAGTCAAATTGGCTTGTTGCTCATTCTTCGTCATCGACTCGATACTCCATCAGGCAAGACAGATTGGCATACCCCAGCAATGTGCGTGGGCTCGAAGACACCAGCGCCCCAGCGAGCACCAGGAGACGGTCCCGTTGCAATAGATCGCTTTCGGCATGGGAGTCAAAGAGAACCACCGTCCAACCTTGGCAAAAGCACCGCAATGAAACCCCGTGATCCACAAATTGGTTCCAAACATTTCTCACCCTGCATGTCCAACCAGTTCCCGTCTAAAACACCATCGGGAGTCACCCATGCATGACATGACAAAAATCATGACATGCAACAAACTAAGCCAAGAATCTCTCTGTCGATCCTTCCTCTGTGCCTACCACACGGACCTGTCTGCGGAACCTCTCGCCCTCCCCAGAAACCGGCCCAACTTCAGCTACCTTGAAGCAGCAGGCAACGTAAATGTCACTCTGCCCCACCGGCACATGGCCAAGCTCCAAAACGTCAAAGGATGCCATTGGGAAACTGTCTGCGTGAGGATGCTCTGCCAAAATCTGGATGGACGACCTCACTGCTGCAATCCACGCAATAACCAACCCCGTTACACGCGCACCAACGAACCCACCTTGGACACAAGGTTTCCCCGACACTGACTTGGCATGTGCATGCCTCACCCCTGTCTCACGCCAAGCGACTGAAGCGCATCACGACGACGCTTCGGTGCAGGAAACGTCACTGAAAGCTCCCGAGATGCTAACTGTGGCACCACCAGGCTCTCGGGAATGATTCCTTGGGAAGACCTCCAAGCGTCCCTGATTTCCGCATTGGACACCATAACAAGAGCATCGATGGAAGGACAGGGCGTTGGCTTCATATTCATCTTCACCAAAACTTGTGGAGCATCACGGTCTCCAGTCTTCATCCCGGACAGTACCAGCTTGACTGCTGGCCATCGGCCTCAGCATCGACTCACCATGACCCATTGCATATCAACCATCAAAACACCCCAAAAGTATTTTGGGCACAGGATGCACATTTCTGAACAATCATGCTGTCTATGACAAACGAGATGCCCATCGGTTCCCCACCGCAACAAAACTACCCTCCGCTGGATGAGTCCAGGCGCCCTCCGTATTGCCAAACAGAAAGGTCACACGTCCGATGGTCGTCACACCACCCAAAGGAAGCGGCGACATGGTGGTGAGCAATGACAGGTCTGTCACCGTAGGAGCTGCATCGGCAGGCGGGGCAGCTGCACCTGCTGCGCCTGACGTGACCTTCTTGAAGCGGCCCATCGCAATCGCAACAACGCGAAAGGACCCTTGAGCAACAACCTGCGCAATGACGCCAAGCTCAGCCTACGACGGACACGCATGTCCTTTCTCTAACCCCTTTCCTTTCAACTATGTTTCTCCCAACTTGGTCCGTCGCCGCAGCAAAAAATGACTCTGGCTGATCAATGATGGTGTCCCGGAAAAATCTGTTTTCCTCCCTTTGTATGATGTGTTCGATAAATTAGCCGTGTCCTATTGGCATCTTCTAGCAACATTTCGTATTTTAACTTCCCACCCGTCCCTTAAGTCTACACTTGCTGGTAAACGAACATAGTCAATAGTGTCTCAGAGGAAGAATACAAAGTGCTGCGTGGAGTTCTCTAATATGGATGCCACACCATGGCTCAAATGGTCCCACATTTCAGCTGGGGATCCTGGCTTGCCCTTCTTGGCACGTATGAAGCATACCAGAGTACATCGGTCAGCCTGGCATCCCGTAGGCTTCCCCAATAACAATAAGGCAGGACTTGATGCCCAATTTATCAAAGAATATTGGATCATATTGTTGCGTAAGCTTACGTATGCTTAAGCAATGTCAATATTGTATGATAATCTATGATAATACAATGTATAGTCACTGTGGCCAGAGTACACGTACGCCACCAAAATGACCACATGGACCCAGTATGATCCAATACTGCATCAAACTTTCAATGAGAATTTGGTATCAGGAGGTTTGGAAGAATGACCCACAGATAGCTTTAAGACGGCACAACAAAGTGACGCCAAATGGCCGAGCATAAGCTCGAAATGGACACAAATTGCAACCTCAACCAAACCATGCTTCGGTTGGGGTTCAAAATTTTGGGACCGGAAGCCGCCAGAAGAGTCCAAAATGACCCAACAAATGCCCAAGATAACCCTAAAATGGCCCAACAGAGGCTCAACATAGCGCCAATGGCCAACAAAAGCGCAAAACCGACCCAAATTCAATCCCAACGGAACCATGCGTCCGTTGGGATTGAAATTTTCTCCCCAAAAGCCGCCAACAGACCCCAAAACGCCCAACAAAAGCACAACATAGCCCCAAAAAGTCCCAACAAAAGCCCAACAAACCGTCCAATGGCTTCGCAGACGCCCGAAACCGACCCCAAATTCAATCCCAACGGAACCATGCGTCCGTTGGGATTGAAATTTTATCACCAAAGGACCCCAACAGACCCCAAAACGCCCAACAAAAGCACAACATAGCCCCAAAAAGTCCCAACAAAAGCGTAACAAACCGTCCAATGGCTTCGCAGACGCCCGAAACCGACCCCAAATTCAATCCCAACGGAACCATGCGTCCGTTGGGATTGAAATTTTATCACCAAAGGACCCCAACAGACCCCAAAACGCTCAACAAAAGCACAACATAGCCCCAAAAAGTCCCAACAAAAGCCCAACAAACCGTCCAATGGCTTCGCAGACGCCCGAAACCGACCCCAAATTCAATCCCAACGGAACCATGCGTCCGTTGGGATTGAAATTTTATCACCAAAGGACCCCAACAGACTCCCCCAAATGGCTCATCATAGACTTAAAATCGCCCACCATGGCTTAAACGGTGCCACATTTCAGCTGGGGATCCTGGCTTGGCCTTCTTTGCACGTATGAAGCATACCAGAGTACATCGGTCAGCCTGGCATCCCGAAGGCTTTCCCAATAAAAATAAGGCAGGACTTGATGCCCAATTTATCAAAGAATATTGGATCATATTGTTGCGTAAGCTTAGGTATCCTTAAGCAATGTCAATATTGTATGATAATCTATGATAATACAATGTATAGTCACTGTGGCCAGAGTAAACAAACCCCACCAAAATGAACATATACACCCAATATGATCCAATGCTGCATAAAACTTTCAATAAGAATTTGGTATCAAAGAGTTGGAAAGATAACTGAGGCTATGATTACCATTGAATGATATAAATACCTAGATGGTATATATGCTATAGGTGTGGCCCTACATCATAGATCATGGATCAGCGGCTTGCAGATCCTAACTTAGGGATGTGGGAGATGATATATTATGGGATAGATAGGGACAAACATAGAGACATAGACAGAGATGTAAATTCAATATAGAAATTGCTTTATCTCAAAGTTTCGTTCTTCATTGGAGACCTCCAACTACTATGCTTTCGTCGGGAAATTGACAGATCATTCCACCCTGGGGAAAGACAAATCAATGCTTTTTGCAACTCACCAGATACATGGGTTTCATTCAGTCTTGTCCCACATGACACGGTTTCACCGCCAAAGGCTCCCACTCCCTTGTCATTCACTAGCACAGACATGCATCTTCTTTCTCAGACCCCCTTTCAATCCCAACAAAGGAACTCATCCGTTGGAACTGAAACCAACAGCAATGTTCATTAAGTTTTCAACGTGGCTGCTGGGCTTCCACGGTCACGGAGCATTCACCCCTCGTCCTGGTCAATGGCTTGCGAAGAAACCGCCAAAATGATCCTGCAGGCATGGAGGTTGACCCGGCAGCTTTCAATATATGAGATGCTATCTTGCGGTTGCAAACTGACTGCACTACATTCCTGCCAACTTCGTATCGCCACAACGAAAAATGACTCTTCATGATCAGTGATAGTGCCCCGCAAAAAAATGTTTCCCTCCGTTTCTATCATGTGTTCGATAAATTATGCGTTCCTATTTGAATACCTGGCAACATTTCATACTTGAGCTTCCAAAGTCTCCCTTAAGTCTACCCTTGTTTATAAACAAAGATACTCAATAGTGTGGCAGAAGAAAAATACGAATTGCTGCGTGGACTGCTGTAATGGATGCTAAACCATGGTGCCACATTTTTGCCTGGGATCCTGGTTGCCCTTCTTGGGACGTACGAAGCATACCAGGGTACATCGGTCAGCCTGGCCTCCAGAGTGGCCACTGGAACGGGTGGGCTTGGATTCTCTTGGTGCCGTTACCGAATGACTCGAACTTGACCCGATGCCAGGCTAAGCGCAGTGCAGTGCAGTGCAGCAGCGGAAACGGCTGGAACCAACAGCTGCGGTGAATGGAGCGACAAAGCCCACGACAGCCTAGGTAAAACGTCGAAATTGAGGGTTAAAAACCCACAAGATACGGGGTTGAACAACTAAATATATGAGGATGCGCTCTTCTAAATCCAACCAAAAGTTGGGGTGCACCTTTAAGCAGCTCAAAATGGTCTCCCGGCGGAAATATGCAGTATTTGGGAAGATTAAAACAGGTGCCCAGTGGCTTTACATTTCCTCATTGGTCATTGATTCCAACCCCTTTCTTCATGGTTTTGATATGCTATATCTCACCGTTCTTGTTATTATTCCTTGCTTTTTATTGGCTTACAGCTGCCATTGTGGTATCAGTTGTCTCCCCATTTTTGGGAAGAACTGTCCAAATATGTCTGAAAGAAACCGACCAGCATTTTTGTTCAAGCCAACATGACCAGGTTGGAATTCCCTATGTAATGAGTGGATGTGCAACACTCTCCATACTATTATAAGGTATTATCCTTTCAATTTTAAGTGTATTTCCTTATATCATAAAATTTCATATTATCTGATATGAAAATTTATGGGGTTCAAATATAAATTCCTTGTTGTATTCTTTCATACACTTTGTCAAACTTATTCTCGTCAATAATTGTATTTCCAATAAACGGTTCATTGTCTTTGATATACAACAACATTTTCTTAAACAATCTATAAAGGTTTCATGATTAAAGTTATCATCCATACAGTCAGCATCATTAATGTTCATTTCTAACATGCAGAATGCAACAGAAGAATATGAATTGTTACAACATGTTTCAATCCTTGTCCATAATCTTGATAATGTCTCATGTCTTTTTCATTTAATATTAAATAATTATTAAATTCATGTTATCATGTGGACATTCATTCACTAAAGTATTATCAACGTATATTTGAATTTGTTCATCAATATCCTCATCGTCACAAGGGTAAATATCAATTTCAATTGAATCAAAATGACTCATTATATTTGAGCAACTTTTGCAGGCTACATATTCACAAATTTTATTGCCAATTATGTACATATATATATATAGTTATCCGCCGACCACGGCCTTCGCCAAGGCAGGGGCGGCGCCTGGGACCACCACAGGTGTGGAACTTGTTTTTCTTGGCTCCAAATGCTTCACTGCTTGGCGGCAGCTTCGATCAGCCTGCCCTTTGTCTCCATTGCCCTCTGTTGTTAGGGCGTCCATGCCTGCCGTTTGCCAGCCTTCAAACCCTTAAACTTTCTTGTTGGCCTGCCGTTTGCCAGCCTTCAAACCTTTAAAACCTTTAAAACCCCTAAAGCCATCCAAATCCTTCGCGGCAGCTTCCACCAAGCCCTCTCTGGCCGTAAGCCTTTGCTGTTCCAGCGTTGCAGCCTGCCGTTTGCCTGCGTTTTCTTGCATCGCCCTCTGTTGCTAGGGCGTCCCTGCCTAGGGCGCCTCGCGGCAGCCTCCACCAAGCCCTGCGGCCGTAAGCCCTTGCTGTTCCAGCGTTGCAGCCTGCCGTTTGCCTGCGAATAGCCCTCTGTTGTTAGGGCGTTCAAGCCTGCCGTTTGCCAGCCTTCAAACCCTTAAAACCCTTAAAATGCTCCGTTGCCAGCCTTCAAACCCTTAAAACCCTTCAAACCCTTAAAACCTCTAAAATGCTCCGAATCCCTCGCGGCAGCTTCCACCAAGCCCTCCTGTAAGCCTTTGCTGTTCCAGCGTTGCAGCCTGCAGTTTGCCTGCGTTTGCCTGCATAGCCCTCTGTTGTTATGGCGTTCAAGCCTGCCGTTTGCCAGCCTTCAAACCGTTATTCAAACCCTTAAAACCCCTAAAACCCTCCAAATCCCTTGCGGCAGCTTCCACCAAGCCCTCTCTCTATCTCTCCCTCCCTCTCTCTCTCCCTCTCTCTCCAGCACCCCCCAAATACGGGGGGTCGGCGGCACCAGGGCGCTAGCCCATTCTATAATTGTTTGGATGGTACTCTATTGTGAGCACCAACTTTTGGGAGTGAAAAAAAAATGAAAGTAAATTAAAAGTAAATTGAAAGTAAATTGAAATCAATTGAAATCAATTGAAAGTAAATTGAAATCAATTGAAAGTAAATTAAAAGTAATTAAATTGAAATCAATTGAAAGTAAATTGAAAGTAAATTAAAAGTAAACTAATTAAAAGTAACTTGAAATCAATTGAAATCAATTGAAAGTAAATTGAAAGTAAATTAAAAGTAAATTAAAAGTAAATTGAAAGTAAATTGAAATCAATTGAAATCAATTGAAAGTAAATTGAAAGTACATTAAAAGTGAATTGAAATCAATTGAAATCAATTGAAATCAATTGAAAGTAAATTGAAATCCATTGAAAGTAAATTCAAAGTAAATTAAATAATTAATTAAATTGAAATCAATTGAAAATAAATTGAAAACAATTGAAATCAATTGAAAATAAATTGAAATCAATTGAAAGAAAACTGAAATCAATTGAAAGTAAATTGAAATCAATTGAAAGTAAATTGAAATCCTTTCTTAAGTTGATTGACAAAAAAAATGTTGAGGGAGGGCAAAAAAAAGTGCGAGTTATAGAGTATCCTCAAATTGTTTAGGGGGGGGGGCCCTCACACTAATCAGATGCAAACATTAGGTAGAACATTAGGTAGGTAGGTAGGTAGGTAGGTATGTATGTATGTATGTATGTACATGACATAACATAACATAACATAAAAGAACATAGCATTACAAATGCATTACATTACATTACAGTTCCGTTAATTACATTACATTACAGTACATACATATATATATATATGTTAATTACATTACAGTACATACATATATATATATACATATATGCCACATATTATGTTCCTATGATTTCCTATGGTTTAGTCTCATTCAGGGTTGACATTAACGGAAGATGCTGCCCCGCTGCAGTTGTGGCTCAGGTCCAGCCACAAGGCCTTCGTCGCAGCCTTCGAGCGGCGCTCGCAGCGGTCCCGCAGCGCAGCTTCGAGGATGCGCCGGGCCGCGTCGTCGTCTAAGCCTGGCCAAGGAGCATGGCTGGGTGAAACATATCTATACATTGACACTCACATATATGTATAAGATATTCCACCCTTCAATCAAAGATCAACCTAGAAATTTTCGAGAAATCTGGTTGATTTTTGTGTATTTCCCATTACTTGGTGGACTCTTGCATATAGACATTCATTTAATATCATGTGTTGCATACATATTTAAACATATCATATTACATCTTACATACAATCCCTTCTCCATAGTATACAAATACCTCCAATAAGAAACCAACAAATCGCTAAATAACACCATTGATCCAGCAACCAGGGTCTCGAGCGATGTCTTTCATCTCATGGAGATGGGATGTAACACGTGAGAAGCCACAATGATTTGGATGAACAGGGCATACACATGATGTGGAAGCATGATGTAATGAAATGAGCATGTATGATGATTTGGGAGATTCATTCAGATTCTTAAAGTGGGGCCCGCAAAACCCGTTGGTTTCCCCATTAAAAAATGCCACATCCTTGAATGATGGGTTCCCGATTCTAAGACAGACGCATGTATACCATGTATGATGGTAATTTTGAAGTCAATACAGCTGGAAGGCTAAAGAATGTTGCCGAGCAAGAATAGTGATGAACCCCCAAATCCAATCCCTAATGCTCCGCAATGAAGTGGAATACATGTGGATGTTTCCTACAGTAGGGGGTACCCCCAAATCATCCAAGTCATTAGACCATTCTAGCATTGAAACTGATGGTGACCTTAGGGATCCCCTATTCTTTTAACCCCCCATGTGTTTTGATGTGTGGTCTCAAAGATTGGAACATCCCACACGAAGCACTTCGCATTCAAAACTTTCGACCGAGAAACTATTTTCAGATAGGTTCAGCTCTTCCAAGAAGTGTCCCCCACCACCTTTTCCTAGAAGCTTCCTCAGAACCCAAACATGGCGAACGGGAACTGCGCCTGCTTGATGTACATTGCATACCATGGCATACTCCATGTATTCTACCAGAAAGTATAGACTATAGACACTATATATATATGTGTATATGTATATGTATATGCATATGTATATGTATATGTAGATGTAGATGTGTATGTATGTATGTATGTATGTATCTATGTATCTATGTATCTATGTATGTATGTAGGTAGGTAGGTAGGTATGTATGTCTGTGTATGTATGTATGTATGCATGCATGTATGTATGTATGTATGTATGTGTGTCTGTATGTATGTATGTATGGATGGATGGATGGATGGATGGATGTATCTATGTATCTATGTATCTATGTATGTATGTAGGTAGGTAGGTAGGTATGTATGCATGTCTGTGTATGTATGTATGTATGCATGCATGTATGTATGTATGAATGTATGTATGTGTGTCTGTATGTATGTATGTATGGATGGATGGATGGATGGATGTATGTATGTATGTGTGTCTGTATGTATGTATGTATGTATGGATGGATGGATGGATGTATGTATGTATGTATGAAATAATATAAAATTCTATGATATATGTATATGTGATTAAATCCTGCATGTACCCACAACTCAAATGGGTTTACCCAACAATCATAGAGTCAATTGGTCACTCAAGATCTGGAAAAGATGAATGACTCTATACTTCTCCCAAGAATCCAGATATGTCTGAAAGATATCCATCGTGGGCATCTTGGTAACAAAAACCACAAACACTTATTATTTGGATGTGGGTCAAAATGGAAGACCTCGGGGACCACAGATGTTAGTCTAGTTAGGTATTAACCATCCAATTATTGGGGTACCTAATTTTGACCCATACCCATTTGTCTGTTGAAATTAAGGATTTCCTATGGCAAGGCCAAATGACCAGAGGGTCTACCCATTGTTGGTGCTTAGGCACACACCTGTAAAGAAACCTGGCGGAAATCACGAATGGCTGAATCTCCACTGCCAGGTCAGACGACCAAAGGGTGGCAACATACAAAGTAATATAAACTCATCATTCCAATTACCCTAGGGTAAACTAGCATGGATGTGGAAAACCAATGCTTTGCCTGGGAAAATGATCTACACATGGTGTTTTTTCCGCATATATATATATATGTTAGTTTAGCTTAGGGTAACATAGAATATCGAAACACATATAGAAACCGCCCGCCAGATCTCATGTCATTGGTGTCATACACTCACAGCGACATTGCCAAGGCACACCAAACGGATCACTTCGGCCACACAGGCCTCACTGGAATCCAAATGGCAATTGATCAGCCTCAGCTTTGCGGATATGAAGCTGGTTCAAGACCCTGGAAACCAAAAATATGTTGGTCGATATAGTTGGCAAATGTATAGTTCACTGACATATATATATATATATGTATATATATATACGTATATACACAATTCACTTGGTCAATAATATGTGCTAATTTGGTTGGGAAACTCAAATTTCTAGCTCCAACTGGCTCCTGATTCAGGTGGATTCAATATATGGATACCCCGAGCTCAGAGCTATCTTCAGGGGAAATGTCGAGCTATTTTCATGTGCATTGCGGAGCACTAGGGTTGGGTCCCTATTCGGCAAATCCACAGAGCAAAAGTGCCAGAATCTTCGATTCTAAACTCCTTCATCAGAGTTGTGATTCGAAGGAATGCAACTCTGGCCATTTTAGCACAACGAAAACAAAACGTATTCACGAACTCACCCTGCGATTATGAGGCAAGACATGGTCTCTGACTTCACCTAGGCAAAATATTCAAGTTGGAATTACTCTTCCAGCTGTCCAAGAAAACCACCCACTTCAATGTTTTCCTATCATGATTATGAATAACAGATTTACCATCAAAGCATGATGCGGAACTTCGCCCAGATCTATATTAATGGCTATTGACATGCATGTAGTATACTTCGTATATGCATTTCAAACAAATGGGCATCATTATACTTTTGCATGTGTCTGTGTTCATCAATATGATGCAACAACTATACATATGGTTACTATAATATGCCCATGTAACCATATATTATGTATACATTATACATATGAACATATGCATATTACGTAACCATATGAAAAGGAGCCGCTCATCCTCAATTCAGCAACGCAGGTCCATCCTTCGAAAGATAGACTGCAGCAAACATGGCCAATAGCAGCAACTGCAATAGAGAAAACTCTTGGATATCCAAAGATTATGGAGATTAATATCATCTGGAATGTGTTATGTTCTTAACATCTAATTACTTGGAAACTTGATAGATGTTATTTATATATATATATACAGGGTATATTGCATCTACACACATATCGTACATCATTATACATATGGCAGTGTGTCAAAACCTTGTACCCCTGGTGAACATCAAAATAGCTGGTAAATGGATGTTCATCCCACTAAAAATGGTATTAATAGGTATTGATCCATACCCATATTGTACATATCATCATTCATAACACATATCATGAACCAAGCAATTCTGCATTGCGACCTTTCACCATGTGGGGCCAAGGTGCTGAACGCATTTCAGCTGCGCCGAGCTCCGGCAGATGTGCACCGCTTGCTCCAAGGCCCGTGCCGGCGAGGGGTGCTCTTTGCGGCCCAGCAAGGGCTGGCCGTAGATGACCAGCTCTCGAAAGGGCGGTTCACCACGTTGAAATCCATGGAGTCTGCCGGGTAAACACATCAGCTGATGGTGAAAAATGCTTTGGGTCATCCCAGCGGTGTTGTTCTGGATTCCAGAATAGCTATAATATAGATATATGTATGAATATATATATATATTATATTACATTATCATTATAGATCAATATGATACAATATATATATATATTATTCATATATATATATATATATATCAATGTGTAAATTTTGGATATGAATACCAGAATGATAATCCTTGCAATGTGTATATAAATCTCTATGAATGGATGGATGACCACCCCCTATAATATGGACATAATGTTGCCAAGTGTTGACGCTGGCACATGTTTCTTTAAACTAAATAATCAACATTAATCAACTATACCCAGTTTTCCATAGTTTTCCCAGAAATAGGTTGTATAAACTATCCAAAATTGCAGGTTTATATCATTGGCTTTCCACAGATCATCATCCACACCTGGGGATCGGGTAGCTTTCCTACCAGATGGCCATTTCTTGGATCCCCATGTGGCCGAAGCGAACAAACATGGGATCAGTATGGGATACGTTGTAAAACCAGAAATACCCTCTGGTTATGTCTAATGGGAAAATGGTGATTTATAGTGGATTTTCCCATTGAAAATGGTGATTTTCCATAGCTATGTTAGTTTACCAGAGGGTAACCCCAACAAGGGCAAAAAAAACCGCTGGCTGCAAATTGATCCCGAATACCCTGTGGAATCAACTCCAAATCCACTAGTAAAATGATCTTCCAAAGACCATGAATGGGGTTCCATGTGAAATTTAGGGGGTTTTGATTTTATGCGATTTGTGCAAATTGTTTACAGTATATCAACTTCAATTCCAATCTATCAGTATGTGATCATTTAAATCAACCTGAAACGCCACTGTTCCTACGGATCCAAGTACCTTCTTAGGCAGTATCTCCTGTATTTTTTGGCGGGGTTTAGTATGGATTCAAATGATTTCAAATGCCTGTTTCAAGTCTTTGGATCCATAGATTCCACAGGTTGTGATAAAAAACTTCGGTAATCAAACATGCCAATGGGAAATCCCCTTATAAATGCTAATCCATGGTAATCCCATACATCTTTTACTGGCACACCGGCTGCCACCGGCTGCCACCGGCTGCCACCGGCTCTCCATAGCGCGACCTCAACAGGATGGAGACCGCTTTCAGCAGACGAAAGGCTCCACGGTCGCGGCCCTCGCGCTCGCCATCGATGGCCTCCAAGGGCTTCAGGAGGTGTTTGCAGCGCAGCTCGCTGAGAGATAAGCTGCCCTCCTTTGAAACGGCCAGCTTCGACGACCGAAATGGGATCTGTTGGATATATAGGAAACTCCAGCAGAAACTGTGGTTTGGCAGGTCATGTTCCTCTTGAAAGCCGTGGTGACTGGCAGTTGGCTGGAAGATATCGCGGGCATGGATATATATATATATACATATGTATATGTATGGGGTTGTATATCCCGTTATATTTCATGAAATATCATCCCATTACCCAGAAAAAAAGTAGGTCATATATCGTCATCATATACTCCCATGATTCCGGGAATGTTCCAATAGGTTAATTTAGTACATAGGCATCATTCTATTACAGTATTTCTGGTTAAATCAGCACTTCGGTTTTGTGGAATTCACGTGTTTGATGGATTAATCCTAATGTTTGTCGGCAAAATCCATGCTTTCGCTCACTCTTTCTGGTGGTTAAATCACAATGTTTAAACTCATTTCAAGTGAGCAGGGTTGAAAGTCCTCTGTTGTTCCTTTATGAAGGCTGGTTTATAGGATTTCCAATCATGAGTTTTGATCATCGTCAATATATTGGATGGTACAACCATGTACAACCCCTATAATCATCAAGCAACAGAGGTTTGGAACACTGTTCAATTGGGTTTTACCCTGGGAGTAAACCCTTTTGGTTAAATCATGTTAAATCCTGGGAGCATAGTGAACTCATTCTCCAAAATGAACATGCCTGTTCCACCATCAACACATAAGCAAAAAAGGTGCTCAACCATATTTATCCATATTTGATGTTTAAACATGTTTAAATCACCATTTCAAATGATTGAAGCACCAGAAATACCCTCTGGTAATTTAACATAGCTATGGAAAATCACCATTTTTAATGGGAAAATCCACTATAAATGGCCATTTTCAATAGCTATGTTAGTTTACCAGAGGGTAGTGTTTCAACCACCATTTGATTCTGCTCCTCCAAGGCCACGTCCAAGAAGTCCGAGATGTCAGCAGCCACCTTTTTTCTGCGACCAAGCCGAGAGAGATGTTTAAAATGAGGGGAGACTTTATGGGATGATGGGATGTATACTTACGTACCTTAGATTATCCTAGTATCATAATATATCATAATAGTATATATTATATACGTATGTAGCCATAATGTATTGGTGGGACTGGACGTGTTGATATTGTATATAGAAACCAAGTCATGATTTTTTTTCCGATAATTCAATTTATGTATGTCCGAACATAGGAAATATCCCCGCCTTTCGTTGCCATCCACAGGCCCTCTGTACAGACGCATCTTGTGCGAAGTTGTTAGCCCTCAACATGGACCATGGCGCGGTAAAACGCCGCGGACGAGCTTTTTGGGAGTCCCAAGGATGAGTTCAATCGATATTTGGAGTTTCAGCTATCGGTTCAAAAAAAAACAAGTGGCACTTGAGAATCTTCATAGTGCTGGGATGGATATAGATGGAACATTTCTCATGGCTTGGCGGCAGGTAAGTTGAAACTCCCATTTGATGCAGTGTGTAGGTAGTTCACTCCGTGGTTTAAATACCATCATAATCCATCATATGAATTATATACATATATATAATTCATATATAGTCCCAGAAAGCGCTTGAACATCTCAATTCCGGCATGTGCCATCGCCAACAGACTGAGTGACTGAGTGGCCTTGGAGGAGCATTTTTGCCATATATGGACTGAGTGACTTGGCCTTGCTCTGATGGCATGAGTCACTCAGTCCATATCTTGCCATGATGGCACCACCGATTACAGTAACCCTGCTGCTTGTCTGCTTGTCAGCATGCTCACGTGAGCCAACTGAGCGGTGCCAAAGATGTGTGCCTGTCACCCCAAACAAAGGCTAGATACATGTTGGTGTATATATGTGTCTATACATTATACATGTGTATATATATATATCGACATATATATATACATTACATTATATAACATATCCAAGAATCCCAGAGTGCAATATCATATAGTTGTTGATTCTTTAAACACCACAGCTTTCAGGGTGCCCCATGAATCGGTATGACAGGATTGACAGCTAACAACCTGAGCAACAACAGCTGCCCCTTTTCGTTGCCATTGCGACCGTCGATCGGGACCCCGTTGTGATGCGCGTCTCTGGCTGGTGGACATGGCAAGATATGGACTGAGTGACTTGGCCTTGCTCTCGGGTGACATTTGAGTCACACATGTATCAGAACACGTACACTACAGGTAAGTATAATTACACACTTGATGACACATGTTCATATTGGATATCAACTAGAATTCAGTAGAACTCTGTCCTGCTGTCTTATCTAAAAAATATGGACCAAATGTCAGAATATGATAGTCTGCAAACCCACCAGTCATTTTCGCAGCAAATATGCGAGCTTCTCTCTCGCTACGCTGCGTGGTGCCTCTGGAGCCTCCGGGACTGTGGAGCTTTGCTGGCTGCCTTCCGTCGTTTCGACCGGGGACGCTGACACTTCTGGGGAATCCAAAGACTTGATGCCATTGGTGTCCGACGTGTCCGACGTGTCCCCTGTCCGAAGATTCTTCGCTTCCGCGGCTTCCGCGTCAAGTGGCGGCTTCGGTGGCTCCTTCAGTGGCTCAGGCTTGACTTCGGATGGAGCAGCTGTCGTTTCACTGGGCTCAGCCTGCACAGATGTCATGTTGAATAAGAAACCCACTATAGCCCAATAGTCCAATAGTACCTTAATGCGAGAGGTCAGACTATGGCAAAGCGTTGCATCATTTATATCTGGTTGGTGGTATACCTACCTACCATTGTGGTTAATATACTGTGAATATTAATGATTAATATATATATATGGTTATGATGATGATTAATGATGGTTAATAATAATCTGGTTGGTGGTATACCTGGTATACCTGCCCCTCTGAAAAATATGAAAGTCAGTTGGGATGAGTATTCCCAATATATGGAAAAATAACACATGTTCCAAACCACAGACCAGATATTAATTTATCATGGTTCCCTGGGAATGACACATCCTACATTTCGGTAAACTGACAGATATCGGTAAAGTCCGATTCTGCTTCCCAGCATTGGATTGAGGAAGAAAGCAGTTGGAAAGATTTTTTTTCCTCAATTTCATCTTAAGAAAGAAACACATTTAGAATAGTTGGATATAGAAGAAACATGAAGAAGCCATAATTGTCTTAAGAACAAATTACATAAATTATGGTTTCCTCAAGATTTCCCCTTCAAAGAACCCACATCTTGGGGGATTCAATTTGGACCCAGTTAAACCGCTACACCTTGGTCGGTGGCGGAACGGCTGGGGGACTACGAACTGGAGCACCTGGCAATGGGCGAATCGCAGGACATGGTTTTCCTTAGGAACATGATCTAGAAATGGGGGTTCCATCTATGTTTATTTACAGGAGGGTAACTATTGGTAACGATTAGAAACACTGTAAATAATGGGATAAGGGGATTTTGCCCATCTACAATCTGATGCAAGATTTCTTCCATCCGCAGTATTTGCCTCTGGTAGTTTAGCATAGCTATTGAACATTGCCATTAAGAGTTAGTTTACCTACTAAACACGGTGATGATTTTCAAAAACTATGTTAAATTACCAGAGAGTATACATGAATTTATATACAGAGCTGAAAATATGAACAAGTGCGAGTCTGAAAGCTCTTGGATCCCCAATTTTCAGCTCAACCTACCTGGACATGACATTTGAGGCTCTCTTCAACAATCAGCTGGTGATATTCTGCCAACCTGGCAATTTGGAACTGAGACGAGAAAATCTAAGCTAGGGTGTTTCCTGCAGGGCCAATGGCGGTATGTGATCATCAAACCTATCTCTAGAATCTCTAGACTCTATATCTATATCTATTTATATATATATAATTATATATATATATATATCATTATATATATATCTCTTTGTCTCTGTATCTCTAGTGCTCTATCTATCTAATCTGATCTGATCTAATCTGATCGAATCTAATCTAATCTATCTATCTACATGTCTTTCTTTCTATCCAACTATCTATATTGAATCTATATGACTTTTTATCATGTGGATCGATACAGCAAGGCTTGGGACTTCTCGGTGTCACATCCAGCCGCCAGCAAAACCAGCGGAGCTGGTTCCGCCTTTGGGTTTCAGCAAGTAGGACCTGGAGTCGTTCGGAGACGACCTGGTTCAATTAATGTTCCAAGAACTTGATTTTTGTCGTCTCCCCGGTATTCACATTGAATGTATTAAACGTGGCGATATTGGGTGATATTGGATGATATTGGATGATACTGAGGCTATTTGTGTTGTCCTTTCAGGAGGCATGCTCACACATGGTGTGGCTGAGACTTGATTGAAGTTGCACATTTCTCCAGTTGATCCTTGTTTTCCTACCACATTTCTCCAGCTGATTCTCATTTGCATCCCCCAAGCAAGCGTAGATGCGAATATGTTGGCTGGAACCCAATGACAAGTCTCTGCTCTACATGTCAAAGGCATTGTCTGCCCCAGAATAGAGTACTGTAACTGTATATGTGTTGGTGTATATAAGTGGGTATATTTCATACCTTTATCATTTCTTCTTGATTTCGTCTTACCTTCCCTCAAGAGCCACTAGCGGCTCATAATTTTGATCCTAAACAAAAATACTGGTTCTGCACCGAAAGATCTGGGCAAATTGCTATTCACAAAATTTCACAAACCTGAAACAAACAATGGGATGATTCCTCCTACCCCACCTGCACCACTACCTATTTACCCAACCAGGCGGCTCTTGCACATTTACACGAGTGATTCGCTTGGCAGCCACACAGTCTTGAGCGCACGTCTCTACCAGATTCACCTGCAGGGGCAGCGTTTCGGAACCGATTCATTGGAGGTACCGATTCCATATATAAGGCCTATGTAAAGGCTAAATTTCAGGAAACATCCCTAACATCCCCGCAAAATATGGCCCCCAATATAATGGTACTGTACCTCCATTCTAGGGTCCTGAAGTTCCCACTAATATACCTTTGGGTAATTTAAGCTAGTTTTGGAAAGTGACCCCTTCGGAGATGTTTCTTCCTATTAAACATGGTGTTTTGTAAGAAATTATGTAATATTGGGATGGGTGACAACCTAGAACATTATCATAAATACAATTAGAGTGTAATTTTGTTCATGTTTTGGTGAACATCCATGTTGCAGCAATTTTGATGTTCACCAAGATACTCCATCCCAATGGACTCGGCTGGCAGAATCTTCAGTCGCCACAAGCCAGCTGACATGTCTGCCCCCAAAACACGACTGGCTTTGGTGTGGCCACCCAATCATTTTGATGTGTTTAATGATGTTTAATATTGTTGGATTAACCCTCCGATATTTTGTAAGGTGTTTACCCTTCATCCAAGGAACCCTTTGATCGCAGGTTCCAGCCCCACCTGCACTGCTGCCAGCTGCAGGTGCGGGCGCAGCTGCAGCTATGGAGGCCTGCGGGATCCGCCGCTGCCCAAAGTCCAGTTGTACTCTTCAATAGTCAAACATGGCTAGCTAGGAAATACCCTATAAATAATCATACATTTCTATCTATAACAAATTTGTTTAGTAATATGGTATACATAGAGGTCTTAATGGGAACATCGTCGAAATGAATGGGAAAATCATCGAACTGAATAGGAGATTTTCCGTCAAGCCATGTTTGAGATTACCGGAAGGTCTATAAAATACTAATCCCTCCCTACTCACATAGACTCTGAGAATCGCCCATTCCTAGTTTGGAAAGTAGTTTTCCAAACCCTTTTTGGAGACCAAAAGCAGCTGCGGAGACATGAGCTACGCATGTCATCTCAAAGGCGGCCCCACAATGGACCGAGCCAATAGCCAGGGCTTCTGCATGCGCCTTGAAATTCAGGGGTAAGCCATTTGATAGTAGAACATCAAATTGAAGTCAAACCAACATAGGGATGCACATACGCAAGAATCCGCCAAATTGTCTTGATAGGGATTTTCATCATCCGGTTTGTGATCAATGGTCCATGGCAATTAAAACACCACCGGCTTTCAACTGCAGTGGCACGATCTGTGGGGTTGCCTGGACAAGATGTTGATTAAATACTGGTGTAGTATACTGTATCTGGTCATATGAATTATTTGACCATGTAAAATGTATCAACAAATATCTCCCTTCAAAAAAACTCATATATAAGCCCTCATCCCCCCATGAAGATATCAATCTTATACTTATATCCCATTATATCCCATTCTTAAATACCGTGTGCGGCGTTTCAGACCCCATTTATCAACAAGTAACCCCAAAAAGATAGAACAAGTCTAGTAGATGTGTCCTTTTCTATCTTTTCATGATCCTCAAATTATACCCAAAACTTCTATCAGATAGTAATGTGACATCCTAAAATCATATGCAGTAAGAGTGGGCTATACTTCTCTGTATCTTTGGGTTTGCTATAACTTGTCCTATAGCTCGGCATTATCCCAAGGTCTCGCCTCGGCACTCCCATTGTCAGGACCTGGGATTTGAAATGAGTTGACCATCCAAAATTTGAGATTTCACCAACTCAACAACGTATCAAACTCCGGCAAGCGAAACCAAACTGTGGGCTAACTTAGAGGCAGCAACTTTGTTCAATTTAAGTTTAAAACGATCGTTGAAAGGAGCTCCGCAAAATATCTGTACAAGGACTCATGGAACTCTGTACAAGGATCCTTTCGGGAACTGACAAGATATCTGTTTTGGCAATTGCTCAACATGTGCCAGGTCTATATCAATCAATCAATGTGATATATATATAAATGCACATCAACAGCTCAAACATCTCTCGTTTAAACTGGGCCACGATATTTTTCCATCAGATCTATTTCACGACAACAGTGTATAATGATCCCAACTATCCCCAATGGGTAACTAGATAACCCCCAATCAACAAGCAAAATTTCTCGCAGCCCCGGCCCCTCTTCAGGCCGGGACTTTCAGCAGCTTCCTCTGGATCTCTGGGATCAACTGGTGACTGCCTCTGGGTCCAGAGTTTTGCCCATGAACTATCCGTGACTATCCTGGCTGGGTTCTTCTCTTTGTTCTATCATATATATATATTATTATATATTATATATATTATTATATATTATATATATATTATTATATATTATATATATTATATTATATATATATTATATGTGATATAATACTATATATCTTTAAATTCAAATTTAGGTGGATCATGGTGGATCACGTGCACCTCCAATAAATTGCAACCAACCAAGCACCACCCTTGGCAGGTGTCTGATCTGTGCGTGGAGAATGCACCGTTCTATGTTGGTTTTCAGAGTGTCATGCAGTGGGCATGTATATATCAAATTTCTAGAACGGATTGAGGTTTGGGACCCAAAGATTTTGGCATCAGTCTTCAACAATTACCCTCTGGTGAACTAACATAGCAATGGAAAATGGCCATTTATAGTGGATTTTCCCATTAAGAATGGTGATTTTCCATTGCTATGTTAGTTCACCAGAGGGTACATGTTTTTTCATATTTGTTCATTTCGACCAATTTTCTCAGCAGCGAATCCTTCCATGGTGGCACCCAAGGAGCCCCAAGCCCCAAACGCTTCAAGTCGGATGCGCCCAAGATTGCTGGATTTGGAGCCTCCCGGCTGAACCGTTCGCCAAAGGCAAAAGCAAGAGCGATGAACAATGAAGTAGAAGGAGACTGGGTTGCACTAAATCCCATGACACAACCTACAATCATAGATTATGCATAGATATAGTCTGATATAGTTTGAAGAAGACTTCTTAATGACTTCTTTATCTTTAGATGATCTCGTCTCATGTCCACGATATCAGTTTAGACTCCGGACTTAATACATACATATACAAATGTATATATACATATATATATATATATTATGAAACATATCTATACACAATCGCCTCCCGGCAAGACTCTCAGAGTCATCAGCTTCCTGTCTTGGATTTGCTTCAGATTGCTCCCAAAAAAACAGAAATACACAGAAATACCCCCATGTCGCATTTCGACATGATGAGTTCATCAATTCGAAAAATTGTGCACGAACAGATTCATGCAGTGGAGCAAGTCCAAGCTTTCCAGCCTTCCCAGGCAAATCCCAAGGCTCTGAAGACTTTACCTCGGAAGGGCACGGGAAAAAACCTGGTTGGATCATAAAAATTGGGGAAACAGCAGGCCAAAAGATTACTTTAGGAATCCCTCGGAAGATTCCTGTAGTTTCAATCTCTTTCGACCTCTTAAAAAAGATCAAAGAAGGTGCTGGTACTCTGGAAGAGATGTTCGATGATTTTCGCACCAAAATCAAGGGTGGGAGCTGAATGACACATGTCAGTCGATTTTCAAGACGTGTCAATTATGACAGCCTTTAGAAGTTGAGATGGGCAGCCATATTTGACTACCAGAGGGTATATAGTATATGCAGCGGAACATTGCTGTCAGATCTGTCAGCATTGTTACCTACCTCGAGCTCCGTGCGATTTGTCTCCTCAAAGATTGGCATACTACCTGCAGAGCAGCAACGAAACCAGTCTCTTTCAGGACTTTCAGGTCTCATATGTGCAAGTTATTTCAGATAGTCTTATTTGATCTGAATCAAATTTCATTGATTCTCATGTTTTGCAGTTTGCATATGCTATGTCTCTTGATGTAACTAGTCCTCCTGTCATCTAAAGAATCGTTAATGTTTCATCCCACATCTGAGGTGACGGGTCGCCTCCTGAAGACACCAAGGTGTATCGCCATTCCTGCAGCAACGGAGTGCTGAGACATGCTGAGACATGTCTTGCCTCGTCTTTTTGGATCTTTCAAACTAGCTTACCAATGCTTACCATAGGACCATGGCTTGTTCGTTCCTTTCTTTGCAAAACTTCAAGAGATCATCAAATGTGGGAAACACATGGCAAATATGGCAGAACCTTGGTTTTTTTTACGGGTTTTATGCTCTGTGTTTAAAGCATCCAATGTTGTAAACCCTAAAAGCAGTCTCGGGGCCCCTCGGGGTATGGTTTATGATACCCTCAAATAATGAATTTCGGGAAATGGGGCATGGTTTATTCTTGAACACTTCTCTTAATCCACGTTTCCCAAAGCCATCCAATGTTCCGGTACGTTTGTCTCAAACATCCTTGGTTTAATCGTATTTAACCCCCATTCATACCCATCGAATGGCTATCATAGTTGGGAAATTTAATTCAGAGCGCAATGGGTCTCCCCATTTCTGGGGAAGAATGGGGAACATGGATACCGCTTCGAATCGCTCCCACCATTGCAATTATATCCAGATTATATCATATATCCAGATTATATCCAGATTATATCCAGATTATATCCAGGTTATATCCAGATTATATCCAGATTATATCCAGATTATATCCCCATAGATGGTTATATAAGTACCCCTGATGTCCCATTATACCACGATTTTTGGTGCCAAACAACCCGACCTCCTTCGGGAGGTCCCGGTTCGGCAGGTTCGACATCTGCCGGTTCTGGTAGGGCTGTGGGCCACTTTCCTCCAGCGCATGCTGAAGGTGTACGGCCTCGGTCCGGGAACTTTGACGAAAATTGTTTGGGCGCACCATGGACAACAAAACGCTACAGTAATCTACAGTGGTAATTCTAGTCTTTATGTTTTCATGTTTTTTCAAATATGTTATTCTATAATGTTCTGAATGTTCTATATGTTCAAAATGGAAATAACATTCTTTCTAATGCTGGTATTGTTTAGATCTTGGCTGAGCTATCTTTTCTGTTTTGCTCTGCCAAAGCTGCCAAAACCCAGAGAAATGAATGTCAGTTGAATCTGACAACGGTGCAGAGTTGCATGGTGTTTCTTCTAGGCAGGCAAGGTTGCAGCACTTGTACAGCGAGGGAACATTTAAAAAAAACACCATCAAAAACCAATGGAACACCCATGAGCCGCATGCCCGATTGGCTGCAAAGTGGAACCACCAGTAAGTTATAACCAGAAAGGCTTGAAAAAACAATTTCAGTTTGCGGCTAGGCTAGGTACAGTGCCTCCATGTGTTTTAAACAGAAAAAACAGGTGACAAGGCTCGGGAATGATAATCTTAGATTTGAATATATTTGGTATGATTTGGTTGATTTGATTAGTTTCCCAAAGTGTTGTTCAACCTTTTGTCATCATCTTTTTCATATCAGGCTCAGAATCATACACCCTCAAAAAAAAAAGAGCAAGTAAGTAAGTCATAGTGAAATGTTGTTTTTCCGTTTTCGAACATAAACTAACACAGAATTACAAAGAAAGAACGCACCTTTTAAAGCAGCATAAACAGCATGCTGCATACCACTTCAGGAACTTCTTCAGGTATGCACCTTGCAAGATCTTCAGGTATGCACCGTCTCAATGTATAAAGAAATTGGTGTTTGTCTGAGAAATTGGGTAATTACCCAACTTCGATGGATTACCCTGTGGTAATTTAACATAGCTCTTGAACATGGCCATTTCAACTTGATTTACCTATTAAAAATTATTTCCATAGCTATGTTAGTTTACCAGAGAATATTATTTCCCCATAAACCCAACGAAATGGAGGTATCTCTCATGTCCAAACAAACCATGACTAAGTTGGTCTTATGTAGCATATTCCCCAACCGGGCACAGTTCCTTCAATGACCGGTCACCAATGATCCCTTGATTCCTTGAGGAAAACCATGTTGTTTTTTTGCATCCCGAACCTTAGACACCCTGCAGAAAAGTCGATTTCAATCAGGATGTGGGAACTGGTGAAAATAGGGCTACATCAAAAATGTATGGTCGCTACTCTACTAATGACATCTAATGACCAGGTTCCGTGGTCCCCTGGGTCTTCCTGTAAATGTTGACCCATAGATACCCATAGCCATATGATGAATTTCATGATGTTTCTCCGCCACAAGATGCTTCATTTCGAAGGGCCAATTGAGTGGTACCTGAAGCATCCGTCCACCTGGCGTCATGGGATTCCGTTGTGTCACCAGGGGTCAGGATAGCAGGAATATCTAAGGCTCATGAAGTTGATCATCTGTTGGGATTTGCAGGGCCACATATGCCTGGTATTTTCAACCCCAAATCTGCTTGTCAGCTGGGATCATGCCCCAAATGGGCTTGAAACCAGTCTCTAGATTTCACCAAAGGGATAATAACAGCTGCAAGCTATCGAAGTGTCACTAGGCGCCAGTGTCTTTCTATTGTGGACATAACCCAACGGAATTGCGTTGATCAATATACACTTCCATAGTTGCTCATAGAATTGGTGTTTCTAAAATAAATAGTGTACAATATGCCCGAGATCTCGGTAGGGGTGAACATAATTATTTTGTGGTTCTCGAGGGGGTGTCTTCTTTATCCATACCTGTCCTTGTCCGTGTTACTCTTGGCCAGTGGCCAGCTGGTTTTGGCTCAACCCACCTACTGTCTCACGATGAAGATCTACACACTCAACGCTGCAATTGCGGTTATCTCAGCCTTGTAAACGAAGCTAAGGTGATTTTCAGATTCATCTTTTGACAACCCTGAGGGTTCCAGTGAACTATTTACGGGACTCCATGACTGATGATTTTTGGGTCCTTGAAATCCCCCATTTTTCTGCAGGGTGATATCCCCATGTGTGGCTACCCCATCACAACGGGTGACAGAAACGTGGCCGGTAGGACATGTGCCACGTGCCCACCTCGCGAGGTTTCGGATCTGGTGGTTGGTTTCAGCCCCCATGAAACATACCCTCTGGTTATGTCAAAATAGCTATGGAAAATCACCATTTTTAATGGGAAAATCCACTATTTCAATGGCCATTTTCGATAGCTATGTTAGTTTACCAGAGGGTAAATTTCTCTGTTAGAATATGTTAGAATACATTAGAATCACTCGAAAGTGATCATCCCGGGAATGGATGAAATCAATCAAATCAACCAACCAATTTTGAAAGAAACAAATTTGAAATAACATATTTATACATTCATATAAACGAAGAACTCAATCAAACATGAACATGTTTGAAACCACCATGCAATATTGAGAGATGAATCAGGGATCTCACTAAACATCCGCTACCAAACTGCTGCTGGGTATCAAATTCCATGCATCACACAAAAGTAAACGTGTCTTGACCGACAACAAGAATGATCAGACCAGGTGACCAAAGCCGTTCAAGTGCATGCAATCCTACATCAATGTGTATGTCTATCATTGTCTATATATAGTCAAAGATGTGTATACATAACGTAATATCTCATGATATCATGATATGTATTTATATATATATATTATGATATATATATATATGTATATATATATGTGTGTAGGTCATAATATCTCATACATATCATGATAATCATACATAATATATCATGATATATGTAGATAATAAATTATGACATATATATGTATATATGTATATATGTATATATGTATATATGTATGTATGTATGTATGCATGCATGCATGCATGCATGTATGTTTGTATGTGTGTACGTGTGTATGTGTGTATGTGTGTATATACGTGTATATACGTGTATATGTGTGTATATGTGTGTATATGTATATATACACAAAAAATGTATATATGTGTTCACTCCCCATAGTGGTTGCAGCAACTCTTATTTTCCAATGACGACGGCCTCCCAAAGGTGAGTGCCGGCCCCAGCTCTTCTATCAAGATAGAGCCAGGGCAACTCCCCTAACTAAAGTTTAATTAGGGGGAGGACCGCTCCTGGGGCGCCCAGGAGAGAATTCTTGGGAGGGGGGGGCAGGGAACAAGAATTCCTCTGCCTAGGGGTCCCTGAGCCTACAACCAACGGGGTACGTAAACACTTACATGACATGTCATGAGCGCGTTCACTCCCCATAGTGGTTGCAGCAACTCTTATTTTCCAATGACGACGGCCTCCCAAAGGTGAGTGCCGGCCCCAGCTCTTCTATCAAGATAGAGCCAGGGCAACTCCCACTACCAGTCACTCACCATTTGGTGAGGCTACCTTTCCCACGCGGTGGGACACCTCTCCCGCGCTTCAGCAAATTTGCCTTTGCACGGCTTTCTTTCAATTCCCGAATTTCTTTGTAGAGTTCCTCACTCCTCTCCTGGAGCTTGTCCAAGACCTTCCAGCCAATTTCTTCAGGCCTCCTCACTTCTCTCATCTTCACGTCGAAGTCGCCCCACTCCTCATTGCTCAAAGCGTCAGCCTTTGTGTTCTCATCCCTGCTGATCCATTCCAAATCCAGCTTGAGGTCCAGCGTCCTCAACTCTTCCGTAAGCTCCATCAGCAGCAAGGTTAGGGGAAACTTCGTGCTCATCCCTTTCACCACGGCAAACGAGTTCCCCTTGTTGTCAGTGAATGCCTTTAAACAGGCTGTCATTCCACCTCCAACCCTTGTGCCCCAGAGCTTTACTGCCACCAGTGTCGCCAGGAGCTCCAGAGCAGCGATCATCCGCTTCGGGTTGTTTCCCCTCTTCCTCAGCCAAGGGGCCATGGTCTCGTCCACCTGAAAACTAAACCAGGGGCACTTCTTCAGGTCCGGCGAGATTGCCAGATATCCACCTATGCATGCATCCTCCTCCGACGCTCTGGCGTCAGTATAGCAGGTTACTGCCCCTGCTGCCAACGGGGCCTCCTCTGCCACCATTTCCATCCGGCCACCCCCCTTCAACCTCAGGGAGATCCGATCCAGGATGGACAAAATCGCCCAGGGCACCACAACCTCACCCTTCTGCTCGCGGACTGCTGCTGCCCACGTGTAAAGCGGCCCCAGGAATGGCTTCTCCCATGGGAGGGCCGTTGCTGCAAAACCCAGACGCCCCAAGCATGAGGCAAACTCACCAGGCCAAACCAACTTCCTCTGGCAGACACGGCCGATCCAGTCAACCAGCCAGCCTGCCCTTCTTTCCGACAACCCAAGGGAGTACGACCCGTAGTCCGTTGTCAGCCCAATCCATTCGGTGACCAGGCCACCCCTTTGCTTCTTCCACTTGAACGGCGAGCCGAAGGCTGCCAACAGGACAAATAGCAGCACCTGGCATCTCCGTCCCTCCTTGCCGACACCCATAGTCTCAAGGTCATCTGCATAGAGCAGGGCCTCGATCGGGGCCGGCCCCAGTAGGACGTGCCCTAGCCGCATCAGGGCTGCGGACAGTCTCCCCCACCAGTAAGGCGTGGAGGCAATCCCGAATGCCCCCACCCGGTTGACATAGATGGCGTTCTCTTCCTCATTCACTCTGCAGGCCAGAAAGCCTTGCTCCGCTCTGATGTATTTGAACCTCCGATGGGCCTTTCCAAAGTCCCCTATGAGTGAGAACACCACGTCCTTCGCCCTCCTGAATTGACCCAGCAGGAACCTCTTTTCGCGTCCACCTGGCATCCTCAGCTTATCCAGGCAACAGATCCTGTGGTTCACTTTCACCCCATGGGAGCCGTCATGAATGACCCGCTTCTTTCCAGACACCTCATCTTCTACCAGAACCGCTAGCGATGCCACGGCCCTGGCCTCACCAAACTCCTCCTCAAACTGCTCCCTCGTCATCTTCTCAACCAGGCCCTCTCTCACCTCTTCCTCCAGGTGCTCCCTCAAATGCTCCTCATGTTCTCTGGCCGAGGGGTAGTTTGCCCTTTCAAGGACATAGGCGTCGGCCGGGTCAAACTGGAGCGTCCAGTCGACCTGCCTCTCAAAAGCAGCCGGGGTGCGGGGCAGGGGGTTGAGCACTCCAACCGGGAACCCTTCTTCAGCCATCTCCAGGAACTGACAGTCCCCATCCGCAGCCTTCTCCAAGACGGCCCTCATGAGTCTGAGCCTGAAGGGTTGGCCCTCAGCCACCTGCCTTAGGCCTTCGGCGGGCTGGCAAAACTCCTCCAAAACGCCCAGGATGCTATTCCTAAGGTCCTCATTCTGAGCCAGCTTGCACCCCGCCTCTCCCCTTGACATCGCGAAGCACTCCTTTTCCAGCCCCGCATCGCCTCCAGCCGCGTCTGTAACCAGCCCTTTAAGCCTCTTCCTCAACTGCTGCCAATCCTCTCCGTCCGGAAAGGTCCTCTTTGGGATATTCCAGCGCCCCGGGGACATCAGGCATCCCCCATCATGAAAAGGGATCCTGTTGCCTTTCCAGATACAGGCTCGCGGGGGGCCCACTCCTCCTTTCACCGGAGGGTTGAAGGGGTCTGTGTCTTCTCCAGCCTCCTTTTTCCCAGGGCCAAGCTTTGGCCGCTTTTCTTCCTTCTGAGGGTCGTCATGGGCTGCCCTCTTCCCTGTATTGCCCTCTTGACTTTCCCCTGCCTCACTGTTTTGTTTGAACGAGGTCAAGACTTGTTCCGCCACCCATTCACAAAGCCGAGGGGGCCATGCTGCCGCTTCAGAAGTTTTGAAGACTCCGTTCACCTTCCCAATGAGGGGGACTCCCTCTTTGCGGGGCAACGGGCCCATGTACCAGCCTGCTTCATCAAAGACTGGCGGCCCTGTGTACATCTCTGGGTGGAGGGGCCCCGAAGTCTTCATCAGCAGCCTTGTGGGTTTGACACTGTCGGAGCCAAAGTCCAACTGCGCAAATGCGGCGCTAACAACCCCAGGTAGATCCATCAGCTGGGCATGTTGAGGAAACTGCCACATGGATCCAGGCCGGTGGCCGGGGATTCGGTCCTGCTTGGTCTTGCCGAGATCCTCCGGTTGCTCCATGTATGCCACCTTGTCTTTGTGCGCCAGCTGACGCTTCATTGCCTCGAAGGCAAAATCTCCAAGGATGTTGCCCAACTCCGCCTTCTGGCGCCTGTGGCCTGAATTCCAAGTGAACCCACGCAGGCACAGCGAGGATCTCAGAGGGTAGGGGCCCTCTTCATTTGCCCACGGTGCCCTGCTGAAGGTGCTGCAGGGCGGGGTGATAACCAGGGCGTCTGCCGCCCCTGCGTCTATGAAACGCAACCACTTGCTCTGCACTTTTGGTTGGGTGAAGTCGACCTTACGGCTATGCCAGAGGTCCAGTTCAATGACTTCTACCACGAAGTGAAACTTCTTCGCCAACTTTTTGACGAACCATGCCAATGAATTCCGCCTCTTCCTGCCGGAGAAGAGGTACAGCAGCACAAACTTCGGAGGTCAGGCAGCCCCGCCTGTGTCAGGGGGCTGCCTTGTAGCCACCGTGCACTGGAACATGGCATGCTTCTCCGAAAAGCAAATGCCACATTGATGTGCAAACTTGCACTTCTTCTGCTTGCACTTTTCTCCCACGGTGTTGAACCTGTAACAAATGGGAGTTCCGTCCCGGTTGTGCGTGGCGCAGCCCGTGAGCACCTTGGCCTTACCCGCTCCTTTCCCTTTGCCCCCTTTGGGCTCGAAGCGCGGCTTCTTTGATGCCAGGTCACCTCCCGACCCACTGGTTGGCGCACTCGGCCTCTTTGCCACCAGCGCAAGAGGCGTGGTAAAATGCCTCTCCTTGGTCAAGGGATCCCGCCACGCCGCCCGGAGGGCTGCAGGGAATGCCACTCCTTCCTGGTTCATCCTCCGAGCCGCCTCCTTTCTGACCGCCCGCTCATACGAGAGGACCAAGTTGAATGGGGGAGCGGCAATCGTCATTCCCTCAGCATCCTTAGCGTTCAAGCCGTACACGTGCTCCCCCATCAAGTAGTCCTTGTAATCCTCAAAGGCTTTCACATAATCTCCTTGGAGCTCAGGCCTGTTCGTATGGCGGAGGGAAAGCATCTGGAATGCGTTCCGGAGGAGGGTCAAACGCTGGCGCAGCGCTTCAGGGTTCTTTGGCTCCCTGACCCTAGTCGCCCCTCTCCGCACTGTGATGTTGCCCTTTGCATCCCATTGGGGGACCAGGCTATCCGGATCCACCTCCTCCCGGCTGACTACCTCAGTCAGATCCTCTGCCCGGTAGTCTCCCGACTCCACTTCTTGGAGCTTCTTTTCGATGAACTCCTTGGCTGGAGTCAGGCGCTCGTCAAGAGCACCTACTACCTTCTCAAGGCCTACCCGCATCGCCAACCACTCTGATGTGGATACGGGCTTCCTCCACTCCTTTGTATCCAGCTCTGCCTCAACTTCCGCGGCCCTCTGGACACGTGTACGGGCATTTGCCCAGGCACAGGACACTGCTGCAACCTGGACCCTCTCCTCCAGTGTCCTAGACTGGTCTATGTCCAGATGAGCCTTCAGGACCTCCACCAAGTCATCTACGTCCTTGGCTATATTTGCGAACTTCTCAAGGGTGGTTACCCCTGAGTGAAACCACTTCGCCGCAACCTCAGCCGGCACTTCGTTGCGATCGAAGAGAAACTTCAAATCTGCACTGCCCCTCCTCAGAGCAGCAGCTTGCTGCTCCTCCGTGAGCACTATCGGCGGCATGGCTGCCCCCTCCTGTGAGCCACCGTCTGCAGGGGCACCCTATCAGAACCCATGCATTCAGGACGCGGTCCCAAAGCAATCCGACAGCCCCCAGGTGCGACCTGGGGAGACCGGGGTGCGACCCCTTTATCTACCTGCCTGTGGGCGCCACAGGACTTCACTGCAGCAACCACTCGGTCTGCTGCAGGTTTTTCCGGAGCGTGCTGCTCAGGTACCGGCTGTCAGCCTTGACCCTGTTTCCTACTGTACAACACCTACCTAGACCACCTATTGTGTCCGTCTAGGGGTGGGACACCAAGATCTCATCCTCGGAGCCGCTGGACGAGGAATCCCATTTGAGATCCTGCCAGCACAACCTACACCGCGATGTGTATGCGTTTTCATCCGGCTGCTCACTGAAGGTTGCTGCCTTCTTGAACTTTCTTTGCCTCGCCATCCAGCATCCCTCTCTGCCAGCCCTGTGGAGTTTCCCACGGTTGATCCGGTTGTACACCTCGATGTAGCCAGCTGGCCTCTCGCTCTCCAGCTTTTCCATCCTGGGCCTCTTTGCAGTGGAACCCGACGCTCCTTCCGATGTGGAGCTATCCGAGGAGCTGGAGGAAGACTCCTCTTCCTCCACCGGTCCCACGGGCTCACTGCCCCACATGCTCACCTCCTCCTTGGGGGGATCAGGCAGGCCAGCCACCGCCCTCAGCTTCCTCTTCCATGCCTCAACGGCGGCATTCGCCTCATCTGGATTGACTGACCACTTTTCCGTCAGCCAAGTCTTCAGGCCTTCCAGCACTGCCCCCTCATCGAAGGATTCATATCCATATCCATCTCTCACAGGTTCCGCATACTTCACCTGGAGCTTGCCAACCACTGAGTTGTACGTCCTCACGTACTGGTCTGAACCCTCAGGAGTCCAACGCCCCAAAAGGTCGCGATCCGTCTTTGCGACTCCCACTGCTGCCAGGGCGCTGGACAAAGTTGCTCTTTCGCTATGTTCTGTCCAGTACCGCTCCCACCCATGAGGGATGAGAGGATCTCCCTTCTCATCTCTGAGCTCCTGCAACACCTCGGCGCTCCAAGCAACTGCCTCTTGGTAGGTCATCACCACACCTTCACAGGCTTCACCCTGGCTCAGACCCGCCGGGATGACAAGCTCGGCTGTCTTCCCCCTGGGGCCTCCCAGGAGTTGTATCCCAACCTCCAACCAGCTAACCTCCCCAACCCACGCATCTGCAGCCACGTGGAAGGGGAGCTCCTTGACACGCTTGCCACCTCCGGTGGTTTTGGTCCGCTTCAGTAGGCCTGACAGCTTCCCGTCATAGACCCACACCATGTCCCAGCGCATATGCGCCATATCATCAAAGCGCAGGGACGCCCAGATTTTCAGGAGCTTAACCCATGCCCCTGCCCTCAGCCTCTCCTCCTTGGCCTTGTCCATGACCAGAGCTTCCAGGGCTGGGACAAATGCTGAAAGCATTCTGGGTGCCCTCCGCCTTGGTGGAGCTTTGTCCTCTAGCTTCCTCAGCAGGTCCTTCACCACCGTGTCCACCAACGGGGATGAGCTCATCATCTGGTCCTCCTCAAACCCTGCCAGCTTCTCAAACCACGCGACGCCCTTTCCAACGGATAAGGGCACTGTGGCGCCCATCCCTTCCTCCTCCCTTGCTAGGAGGTAATCCACCAGTTGTTCGCCCCGGTAGGGCAAGCTGCTCGTCGTGGCGCAGATCCACTTGCGAAAGCCTTGCCAGTACGCCAAGTACCTCTTGGCTGTCGAGGCCCTGTACTTCCCAAGCAAGGCTTGCCTGGCCCTCTCTGGATTGGAGGTCCCCCCAATCTGTGCGACGATGGGGGCCCCCATCAGTGATAGCTCCTCGAAGAGAAGCTGCACCACCTTCTCTTCTTCCATATTCCCTGTGCTACTTGCCAAGGAAACCCCCTTCGGCAACTTGGCTAGCTTACCCCTTTTGGGGACTTCTACTGATGGCCGATTTGGAGGCCCAGTCGGTTCAGCTGCCTGCGACTGTGCGGCCTTCGTGATGCTCGCCACTGCGTCGTCCACGGCTTGGGCACCCGGGGTCTTTGCACTACCCTCCAGTCTGGCCTCCAGCTCTACTGTGTCGTAGGCGGCTTTGACCTGGGCCTTGACCAAGTCCACCACCCACTCATCAAAAGGCACCCCGGCCCTCTCAGCGGCCTGTCTGGCCACATCGGCCTCCTCTCCTATCTGGAGAGCCAGCCTAGGGCCTGTGAGGCCCACCTTCCTCAGGACCCCAAGGACCGCTCCAGCGGCGACGGGGTCGCAGCCGGCAGCACCATCTTGCTGCGCCCCATCCATCTAACAAGAATTCCTCTGCCTAGGGGTCCCTGAGCCTACAACCAACGGGGTACGTAAACACTTACATGACATGTCATGAGCGCAATTATATATGTATATCTATATGTATATATGTATGTATATATATATATATATATATAAAAACATCATAATATCACACGATCGTATCCCAACCCCGAGGTCATCTGTTGGGGACTGTTGCCTCCTTTCCCGTTGAACATCCCACCCGTGCGGCTGCGCACCCCGTGTCGGCTATGCCACACCACATTCGCTGGTCGAAACTCCAACCAGCCGCGCTGCCATTTTCCAGCGATCTGCGGCTGGAGGACTTGGAAATTGGAGCAGATGGAGTGCAGGAACCAATCATTAAGTGCTTCATAACCTAGCTCAATGATACTTCGTGGCTAGGGCATATCCTATATTTGTAGCAAGTGGCTTATACATGTTTTATATACCACCAAAAATTGACCTGGTGGGGTTTGGGCTTCACATTTTGTAGACGCATTTCTGAACAACCCAAAAATGGCATCTACAAAACTACAAACATAGCATTTGAACAGGAAACCTTCAGGTCTACAATCCCAACATACAATCCCACTCGGGTTTGTACCGTGCCACAAGCCACCTTCTACAAAATGATAATCATGGAAAACCACACACTATTGTAATATAATTGTAATATGCTCTTTTCTCACATACTACCTGGGATGCAAATCGAAGTAGTGGAACTGTGACTTACTTCGCAACATTTCCTCTGTAAGAATGTCATTTTGGGATATTTTGGGTGTTTAAAGATGTTTTAACCACTTCTGTAATCAATTACCCCAACTCCGAAATGGCCGTCATAAAGGCATCGTCCCCTTGAAATCCCCTGACCGCTCCGAATTTCAGGCCAAGGTTGGAGGAAAGAATTTGCAGGGCACTGGGTGGAGCGGGGCTTGGGGAGGTTTTCCCACCTAGCTACATTGAACAAATATTTCTGATTAAATAGCCTTGCAAACGTTCACTGTCTTCTACCGGAACACATTTCAAGACCCCACGTAGTTTGGTTCAACCACAACCTCTGCTATTGCAATGTAAGTTTGTTTTATGACAAGCAATGGCCAATACAGGGCAAACCCATGCAATTGAGCACTAGCAAATCCTTAGCCTTCGCTTGGGCACTTCTTGTCCTTGGGGGGCTACTTCACCAGCATGTACCTGTGAAAATCAACATGTATTAAACCGTATGTACAACCTGATCTCAGTGGCCACCTGTTTCTTTCGCAATGTTGCCTTGAATTCCTGCGACGAGAACCAGGCCAGTAGCATGCGAAACGCCCTTTGCCATATTTCACAGTCGACCCCGCGCTGGGCACGCCGCGGAGAAGGCTAACGCAGGCAACACCTAGAGCATTAGCGGCAGTTGCCTTCGTCAAGATGGCAACTCACCACGGGCGTTCGAATCCTTGCCTTCATGGGGAAAGCTCTCAACTTGGGGAAGCTTGCCGTCAAGGCACGCCCGAGCCACTGGGAGCAGCAAGCTGCAGCAATGCCCTCTCATTCAACCCTCATGCTCAGTCCTGTAGCTGTTTCAAGCACGGCTTGCAGAACACTCCATCTAAGCCTGCTAAGCGGGAAATTAAAACAGGCCAGCCCTAGAAAGGCAGAGGCTACAGCAAAGAGCAAACAGGAGCAGCGGCTTGGGTGCCAAAGCTTTGCACAACGCTGGTTGAAAAAGAGCATTGCTACGATGGACCTTGAACTTTGCATGTCTCAAACGGGAACAGAACAGGGACCAGAGTCTGTTTCTGCATTGTCCATATATGCCTGGCAGACGCGTTGATGCAAGAAGCAGAACCGGATGGAATGAGGAAAACCCCATGACCTCAAGCCTTTTAGGCTTGCATTAGTGCCGATGTAGTAGAAGCAGTATTCAAGATTGCTTCATGCCGCCATCCAGTCTTTTGGGATTTTCAAGTCCTTGCTGCGGGCCCTTCAGCTGAGACTTGGGAAGCACCTGGGCCCTATCCAGAAACGAGAAAACACTTTTTTTTTGCTGTTCCCCACCTGCCAGGTGAGGGTTGTTAGATTTTATGTCAGTTGCCTCCTCCTCCTCCTCCTGCTCCTCCTGCTCCTCCTCCTCCTCCTGCTCCTCCTCCTCCTCCGCCTCCTCCTGCCTCGTCCTCCTCCTCCTCGTCCTCCTTGTCATCCTTGTCGTCCTCGTCGTCCTCGTCGTCCTCGTCGTCCTCGTCCAACTGCGACCCGCGATCCACAGTGTTCTCTGCCGGACCTCAACCACGACCATCCACGCCCAGTGTTCCCTGCCGGACCTCAACCACGACCATCCGCGCCCAGTGTTCCCTGCCGGACCTCAACCACGACCATCCGCGCCCAGTGTTCCCTGCCGGACCTCAACCACGGCCATCCACGCCCAGTGGTCCCTGCCGGACCTCAACCACGACCATCCACGCCCAGTGTTCCCTGCCGGACCTCAACCGCGAGTATCCACGCCAAAAGATATGCCACATAGAGTGCCAGAAGATATGCCAGATAGAATGTTAGAAGATATGCCAGATAGAATGCCAGAAGGTATGCCAGATAGACTGCCAGATAGAATGTCAGATAGAATGCCAGAAGATATGCCAGATAAAGTGCCAGAATGTTTGCCAGATAGAATGCCAGCAGATTTGCCAGATAATATGCCAGAAGATATGCTAGATAGAATGCCAGATGGAATGCCAGAAGATATGCCAGATAATATGCCAGAAGATATGCCAGATAGAATGCCAGATGGAATGCCAGAAGATATGCCAGAACATATGCCAGAAGATATGCCAGAAGATATGCCAGAACATCTGCCAGAAGATATGCCAGAACATCTGCCAGAAGATATGCCAGAACATCTGCCAGAAGATATGCCAGGTAGAATGCCAGAAGATATGCCAGATAGAATGTCAGATCGAATGCCAGAAAATATGTCAGATAGAATGCCAGAAGATTTGCCAGTAACAAAATATATAAATGTCATGGTGGGGATCACACGAAGTAAAGTAATTTTTTTTACCGTTTTTACGTGTAATTTTTCATCGGGGCTTTGGGTGGAATGGTTTCATCGGGGCTTTGGGTGGAAATGGTTCGTTCGAGGCTTTGGGAGGAAGATTTGAATCTTGTACGAGTAAGGAGCTTGAACGGGGCATTCGGAGGAAGGCCGCCGCTAGCCCCTTTGAGCGGGGCAGTGGGTGGAGCCAAGCCATCGGGGCTGTGCGAGGTGATTTCGTACGTTTTCAAAAATGACATTTTGCACTGAAAATTGGCGCCTGGTGCCTGCAATGGCCGGAATTTATTTCATCCCCGTCTTGGTGCAGGTGCGACTGTGAGGGAATATTTAAAAGCGTACATGCCTCTTACCAGATATACATACATACATTTTCAAAATGGCAGGGTAGGCGACATAGCAGGAGGCTCCGTAGAAACCTAAAGGGCGGGTGTGTAGGCGCGGAAGCGGAAAGCTAGCAACAGTCAGCAGCGTTGCTGTTCCTTAATTATCCTCCATCTCATGGCCGAAATACATCTCTCCACGCTAAAGCTGATCTGCGCCTTGAATTTCGAGTATCCGGGTGTCATTGTTGAATCGAAGCGCGCTCCTCGTCACCCTGGCGCCGTTAGAAGGGAATGAAGACTTTGACGCCCTCAGCTCAGCAACAAACATACTGTATGTCGCCGCGGTTGCTGGTCTTTCTGCCAGCAAGAGAAGAAAGCTTCCACCCCGCACTGGGAAAGGAGGAAGGCTTCAGCCGGCGCCGGGAGGAGAGCCGGCACCGGAATTGAGACCCGGCGCCGGGAGCGAGACCCGGCGCCGGGAAAAAGAGAATCCTCCCAACCCGGCGCCGGGAAGGAGGAATCCTTTCACCGGGAGAAGAAGAATCTTTCAAAAGAAGAAATCGTCACATGCTGATGGCAAGAAATAGAGCGTTGCTCCCAGCACCTAGAAAGATAAAACTTAAAAACCTTTTCAGGGCCTCACACACGGACAACCACATGATCAATGAACATAGTATACATTTATATACTGTTGAGCTTGCCGCGCTGTCTTCTGTCCCCACTTCTATCGGGAACAATGCCAAAAACTAGCTGGTTCATAGCCGACTCGAAGACACCCGCGGACGACGATGGCCTAATGACCCCCAAACGTTGTGTCCACCATCATTTACCTTGCACCGTCCGAGGCCTCTTCTCATTCTACACATTCCAAAAAAGTTGAAACTAAGCAGAAAAGTGAGCCTAAGGGAAGCAAGATTTGTTTTTCCCGCCCTGATTATAAATGGGCATCTGCCATGACCACGGGACAAGTACTTTCGCACATAACGGCTATTTCTTGTTTTGTATCAGTGCTCGGGTGGAAAAAGTGTGTTTCACCACCCATAGCCCTGCTACGCTGGAAGCCCTGCTGATTTGGTTCTCTGACAAGGCACCCAAAACCATCGTTGTCGGCCAGTGAGAAAAAACCTGATCTCAGGTGGTTGGCGCACAGTGTTCCATTGGGGGTCCCAGGTCCAGGCAAGAATTTCATACCAACTCTCCTGGAAGAATATACCTTCCCATTGGTGCACTGTGGTTTGTTTCTTCTATATTGCTTTCCGCCAGCGGTTTCATTGATGATGGTATAGTGCTCGGTGGTTTGGATTTCTCGGGATACTCTTCGATGATCTTTTTCACAAGGGGATCGAACCCCCACATGTTGTTGGAGGGTTCCTCATGTTTCCGCCAATAGAAATCAGCCAATTCGGGTTTCAACATTTTCCAACCACATCCAAGTGATGTTCAGCCCTCGGCTGCTTCAGCTTGGCTCGAAGATCCCGAGCTTCGTAGTCAGGTAGAGGCAATTGGAAGTCCAAATCCTCAGCTTTCAACCCCCCAAGTGGGCGCCCGTTTTAGCGTTTGAAAAGAAGGGACACAACAACAATGG